GCATCAATGGGGTAGACACCAATATATCTAGAGATAGAGGAATGTAGTAGTTTATATAGTGATAAAAAATATTAGCAATTTTAGTGACACCGTTAGTTATTTCATAGAGATATTTATCCTTTGTTAGTAGAAGTACCTTGTTATAAAGATCATATGATCATGAAGTTTGACTATATGTTGGGTCATAATGTTTCTTAAGTGTTTGAATAAAATTGGCATTTTGCCAAATTAATTAAAAGGAATTTTGCAATAGTATTGATGTATTGGACTCCAACGACTATGAATGTTCTTATGAGAACGTTAAAACTAAAATGAAAGAAAATCTTTGTGTTTTTTTATTAGGAATTTGTTTTTTTATATATATTTTTGTTGGGGTTTGTAAAACGTTATTTCACTATTTTTATATGAGGACATCATTATGTTAATTCTAAAAAAAACACATATGAGTTTATTTTTTCTATATTTTACTTCATTTATGCAATGATATGTAATAAATAAATTAATTTATTTTACAAACTTACTCCGCGAAAATCATTCGACACCACGTGCATCGCACGTGCACTTTACTAGTAGTCATTAAATAAGGATAAGTTGTGTGGTTAAGATATATTTAGTTTTTTATTTTATTTATTATTCTAATCATTTGTCCTTCGAGTCATTGATCGACGGCTGCAGTGTAAAGCAACCGGTGCCACCGTTAGTTTCAAAACTGCACAAATTGCCCATATACAATGTATAATTAGTTGATATCAAATGTATATTTTAATTTGTTTAAATCATACTTACATATTTTGAAGTGCATACTTAGTTATCGAAAACTTTTTATCGTCAAATACAAAGTGCATATATGCTTCGAGGTTATGAATGAGAATAGCAAAGGAAGAGGGGCAAAAAAAAAAATGGCTAGGAAGTTAAACCGCATACTTAGTTATCAAAAAATACTTATTTATCAAAGACAAAGTGCATACATTCTAAAAAGTATAAATTCGTAAAGCAACCAAGATCTTCATCTTCATTGCGTTCACCGCCGCGTGAATTTTCATGGGGCTCAGTCTTCTTCGTCATCGTGTGCATC